GAAGTTCTGGGTGTTACTTAGCTGGGGCCACATGTCTGGCTCTGCTATAGCAGGCCAACCTCATCCGAATTATCTGCCTTAATCTCCCGCAAGGCCCTTCCAGAAGTACCATCTTGTCGAAGACTGCTTGTATAGCTTTTTGTGTCACGCACACCGCTTACTGGCACGCGATTTATCGATTGCAATCAAGCTCAATCAAACTCTGTGCCTTCCTTTGCCCTCAGACCCTTCAGTGTTCTTCGGGAGGGCTGTTCGTAGGCACGGTTTGTTCTTCACCAGATGGTTTCGGCATGGACGCTATCAGATTCTTTCACCTACCCAATTAGCAGTTCTTCAGTGATACAAAGGTGTTACGAAACACCCGGTGCAGCTGTTCTAGCGCGGTGATCATCACGGCACTTCTTCCCAAAAATTTGCCTAAAGTGCTTTCTGATGGGCTTTTAGCCAGTCACCTCAGCGAGAACTGCTGTGCCGGGGTACTGCTGCGACCGAAACGGTCTCAACTCATCCTTTTTCCATCACAAATTTATGCATTTTCACTGACAAATTATGAAACCCAGGCTGGAATGCACCAGGCTTGCGGGTGCGATCATACGTTTTTGCAGCAGGATTGAAGTACACTCAGGACGTTAACTGCATAAATGGTTATTGCTTTACACCTTTACCTTTTGTGATCACTAGCGTAAAGCACCGTAAATTTTGCATAAAGTAAATGAACATTTTCTGTTTAGCGGTCGTTCTTAGAAAATGACCTCAATAAGCAATTTTCCCACCAAAACTTTTAAGTACCCGTACGTGAGAACCACACATACCTGGAGGCTAAATTTGAAATATTTGAGTTCCACTTGGGCAAGGAATACACCCTTAAGATTTCAGCTTTCCAGCTTTTCTGGTTGCCGATTGAGCAATTTTCCCGACAAGACTTTCACGTGTCCGAACATGAGAACCACGCTTATCTATGAGCTGAATTCGAAGTCTCTAGCTCACACACATACCGAGAATATTCCTACTAAGTTTCAGCTCTGTACCCCTTCTGGTTCCCGAAATCACTTTCCCGCCAAAAAATCTGCATATTTCCTTAGGGCTTCCGTACATGGCACTCAACCTTACGTAGGTGATGATACTAAAATGGGAGAGTCGCACATGGCGTAGGCACACGCTCCCAAAGTTTCAGTCTACTGGCTTTTCTGGTTCTCGAGTTGAAAGTGGCTAACAAAAAGTACGAACACACAGACATACGCGCACAGACAGCCTTTTGCTGATATGCGTTTTTGCATTTGCATATATGCAGAAACGCATAAAAACTATTGCTAGTGTTAGAAAAATCATCATCTGTTAACTTCCCGAAAGTGTTTGTGAGCTGCACGTTTTCAGCGAACTCGTACTTACCCTCACTGCAGGACTGTTTTGTGATTGCAGGTGGGTGCAGCAGATCATTTGGTCACTACTGCAGTGTCTAAGCTACATTCTCTGTCTGCTAATGCAAATTATCGTTGGAGGTGGTTAATTCTGATTTGGAAGGCGAGTGCACTCTACGAAGGGATTGAGGGTTCGGCTGGAAAGTGAGGTGAGGTGATAACAGTGGGAAGTGAAGTGGAGGAAGGACTGCTCCAGAAAATGTTAAGCAGAGGGACTGAGATCATTTGAAAAGCCGAGCAAGTCAATGAAATGGAGACCTATTTGAGATCGGCAATAATGATCGAGTATATTCTCATATGTGCCGACTTGACTGCACGATGAACATGTATCGTTGAGGTCTGAAAATATGAAGAGTTGAAATGTCAATCGACGTACGATGAAAGAATGCCGCCTGACAGCTTGTCGACACTCGGACCCCTTTCGGATGAGCAGCAATCCGAACCCCCCCGAGTCCAAGCCCCTCCAAAACACCCATCTTTTCGGGAACAGCAAACAGGAAATCAATTTGCCATTTCTCCCTTGTATATTCTGGATGCGTCTGCTCTAGGACTGTGGTGAACTTTCTCTTCCCAAATAGCCTTTTCAGTGGTGTTATAATTTGCATGAAAAAAGAAAAAAGTAACTAACTAGTGGTCTTTTCAGAGACAGTACCGATGCACATGTCATTATCCTTGGGGTACTTGCTGCAGGAGAGCATTTCTGGCCAAGGGAAGCCATACTGCCGCATCCTACTTTCGCATCCCTGTAACACCGCTTATATTGGATCCATTTAGATCAATTATGCAAAGGAGATGCGCATATGCAAATGATATTTACAAAGAGATAAATTAGAACCTGCTGAACAGCAGAGCACAGGGACTGACAAGGCAGAATTTCGCGGTCCATTGTTGCCAGACACACCGGCGCAAACAACGAGCACAGGAAAAGCTGGAACGATATGTTTCAGTGACTTGCACTAGCAGCTGGAATTGTGTCTACGAACCGAAACTATGAAATCCTCGAACCGCTGGGGTCCCTAACTGCTGGAAGCTCTGCCATCTACTCCCCGCATACCAGAAACTCGGAGGCTCTCAGTAATCTCTTTCAGACTAAAGTTTTGAGCTACTGGTAGATTTTACTGTTCTAGTGTTGTTTATCAAGAATACATCTCAGTCGGAGACAACGGCATCTACCAAGAAACCAGTGGTGCCGCGTATTTTGGACAATTTCTGCTTGGCCTATAATAAGCAGATGTATTCTTGATAGTGGGACTATCGTCATGGTAGTGTTCTGCACTACATTAGAAGCATCAGAATTCGGATATGCGGAACTAGAAAGTCAGTTCCGGTCAGACGTAGTCGTTCAAGATGGGTTAATTTCAAAAGCTAACTTTACGCCATTTACTTCTGATGAGTAAAAACAATAATGCGAAATTTAAATTTCTGGCTTACACTGCGCATTCTTCATAAAGAATTATTTTAAGTTCGGGTTCGCGATCACGAGTTAAAAAGCTGGGAAAGTGAAAGCTGCTTTCAGACCGATCACCTTCAACAGTGTTTTGAATTTGAACCTAAACTCAGGAGGTAGCTAAAATTTGACGACGTTTTTGCTGAGTAGCGTAGTACCGAAAAGCATGCTGCTATAAAGCTGTGTCCGGCGCCCGGCAGCTGCATCCCAGTAACAACAAAAATGGGATCCTCACACTGACTGCCCGAGCAGTCTCGGTAAATTCAGCTTGCTGGCTTCAGCTGTGTTTTCACCACATGCAAAAAGGCATGAAAACAAACTTAGCAACTGACGCATCACTGCAAAAACAAAATGTTTCGTCCCTTACTCGCCAGCGCATCATCCGCCAGCGGTAGCAACAGCAGTAACCAGCTTGTTTTGGCTATCGCGTGTGGAACTGCTCAGGAAATAAGTCAAGCTGATCTTTTCCCGAATATTCCAGTATCAGACAGAGGCGCTCATCGAGGAACCCACACTCCGCTGCCGAACAGTGCAGGATCGAGGTGTAGCTGCTTGCTCACCTGAGTGTCTGGATGGCAGTTTAATCGGTAGAGCGGAATCCAGGGAGCTGCTTGCTCGATCACTTCGTCCACCGTTTCGTGCTCCAGTAAATTCGGCAAGCGCATCGTTGAATACTGAAAAAGTGCGAGGATCAGTGTGGGCTTGCACCGCTCACTGGCCTAGCGCCTGGATGGGCAAGGAGTTTTTGAAAATGGTGCTGCCTACTTGTATACCGTAGCACAGTGTCAGATTGCGGGGTATATCGACGCATTTCGGTGAAGACGGCCTGTCCGAAGTGAGAATCGCCCAGGACTCCGAAATGTAAGCATAAGCCCCAATTGGAAGGAACAGCAGAAGGAGTTCGCTCGGTGCCATTCTTCCGGGGCTCCACAACTCCACTGGGCTGCAGCCATCGTTCAACCACATCCTGGTACCGCCCCTTCGGCAAATCCTCTGTCCAATCAGGCACTTGTTGATGCTCATTTTCAGCACTTCTCCTTTCAACGTGCCGCTCCCTGAGCGCTGAGCCTCCGCTCCTCCGTTGCGGATCCTGTCCCTCACCGAACCCCTCCCCACCCCTCACGGCATCCTTCAACTCTTTAGCCTCGTGCCTCTTCCCGCACTCCATTCTTTTTCGTTTTTAAAACATGTTGGAAGTCCGCAAATGACGCCCGCCAATCACCAAAGGTTCGCTACGCAAGCTTCTCTGCATTCCGTTGGGCGAACTCCAAGCAAGATGGGAGTGCCTGGTGCCAGTGCTTTGTCCGGCTGCGCATCGACCAAAAAAGCCATGAGAGCATTAAAAGAGCGAAAACAAAGTTGAAAAAAGAAGAAATGACACACTGAGAATGCGTGAAACTCGAGCGAATTCCTTCTTTCTATGCCAACTGATTGCTGCATATGCAAGATCTCCTTTCGACTAAGACTGCAGAGGAAAGCCATCCCAGTTAGTCACTGCGCAGGTCCAATTCTAGCCAATCAATTTTACTGATTACCGCACATCGAACGCATCGATAACTCCCTGTGCCGCATATTTAATACGAAGAGCGCCTCGTCTTGTCTTTATCACTTACAGATATACGACATTCACCGGTTGTTCTACCCATCGAAGCTCATTGCTCCTGCCATTTTCGTTCACTTTTAAAATCTGCTGAATTGCCCGGTGACAAATTGGCGATTTTCGTTCCCCTTAAATACAAAAAGAGGGCGGTGTGTGAGGCCGAACTAAATAAACGCACATCACTTTCTCCTTTCCCGCACGGGTTCCAGGACTACCGTATACCGCCTGGACCAATGCAGAATTCGGTTCGGTGACCTGAGAAATCAGGCCCTGCGAATATGAATTGTTGCTGCCCGCTGAATGTGGTAGTATTTATTATTTACTGATTTGATGCGGAATTATAAATGTTATTCAGAAAAATGGTTACCAGAATGGATATAAATGAACAGAATTGGATAAAAGTAATATGAAAGCAAAATGTAAACAAAAATAGTGACATAAACATAGGAAGAAATCAAAACGATTTTTTGTGAATATATGAGCGTATAAAGGTAAATAGATAAATAAATTAATAACCGAGCAAATAAGCGCATATACAGTTGCGCTTATAACAACTGGATAAAGAAGTTTTGGTTCACTAAGCTGTGTGCATCTTATCCTAGTACCGAAGCTAGACCTCGCTAATTGCCTGGCACAAATTTATATTGATTTGGGAATATTGTAAATGTTAGAATACACTTTTATGAAGTGATATTGACTCTGCAGACGTATCATAATGTGACAGTGGCTAGGGCGCTGTCATATCTGCATAAGGGTTTTAAATTCAAGAATAGATTGGCATTTTGTGATATTCTGAAAAGTAGTATATGAAATCAGTGAAATGGAGAAATAATTTAGTGAAATGAAGCATGAAGAGGATCAGTAAAGCTCTGGGAAAGCTTTTAGGCAAGTTCGAGTCTCGTTGCATGCGTCTTTTTTTGGGTTGAAAGGATCTGGGCGAGTAAGGGATGTACAGTCGCAGCAAAGCAGGAGAAGTACGACCGCTTTCCCTTACGTCACAAGGTTGCTAGAATCAATAGAAAAAAAGTAAAATAAGCTGAGTTGACGAACGCTAAGGAGATGAGCAGCTCAGTACGGGAGTGTCTGGCGTAGTCGCGCTCGGTCCGTGGATGCACTTCAGTCTCTCTGCACTAACTGTCCGGTCTGTACATGAACCTCGCCGATACATTCTTTCCCTCTTTTTTTC